CCAGGGTAACCTTATCACTCCGTCATACGTGGCATTTACGGCAGATAGAGGTCGTCTGATCGGCGATGCTGCCAAGAATCAACTGACGTCTAACCTAGAAAACACTGTGTTTGATGTGAAGAGATTGATTGGACGTACTTGGGATGACCCGTCAGTTCAGCGTGCTATCAAATATTTCCCGTTCAAGGTACGAGTATATACCAAAACAACTTACGTATCCAAAACAAAGATTTTAGTTTCGTTTCTTCGTTTACAATAATCCCAAACAACTTAGCGTAGAATACGTTATTTCAATTTGTTCAATGAAAACAGCTTGGCATTATTATCCTCATAGTTGTTTATAGTTAAGGAAACTTTTCTGTTGAAACAAAAGTGATAAAATTGCCATCTAACTGCGCAACACAAATCACTTCAAGCTAGTTTATAAGTGACGGACCACAGCTCATTGGCTGTTTAACGTTTGTTTGGGTTGGTTGTATGACCTCATGCGATCTGGATTTATCAATTATGCTAAATACTTGAACAACTCGTATGTCATGTGTTTCTATTGTGTTGTCTTCATGTCTAGGTATTAAACAAACACAACAAACCTCAAATCGAGGTATCAATTGGCAACGTGTCAAAAATATTGACAGCAGAAGAAATCAGCGCTATGCTGCTTGGCAAAATGAAAGAGATGGCGGAGGGATATCTGGGTGAAACCGTTCATAGTGCTGTGGTAACTGTACCTGTTGACTTTAACAATGCTCAGCGCCTAGCTATAAAGGATGCTGGAACTATCGCTGGTCTCAACGTAATGAGAATCATCAACAGTCCGTGAGTAATATGTACGCACACCAACACTTGAAATGAAGAGAAGCAGATTCCAGTAATGTAACACTATAAATACTAACACTATTTCTTTATTTAATCTCAGTACTGCGGCTGCCATTGCATATGGAATTGATAAAATGAATGTTGAGACAAATATTATGGTGTTTGATCTGGGAGGTGGGACTTTCGATGTATCACTTTTGACAATTGATGATGGTGTGTTTGAAGTCTTGGCAAGCAACTGCGACACCCACCTAGGTTAGTATTGAGTGTATGTTTGTGTTTTAATGTACTTAAGAATGTTGGAACCTGAATAAAATATTTATTTCGTTATAATAC